GAAGAACAAAAGGACAGCAACTTGTCTGTTCCCCTTCCCCCAACTCCCCAGCACTGTTCCCATCCCCCCAATTCCCCAATAAAAAAATTAAAAATAAAAAGAGCTGGGTTTAATGATTCTAGTTCCTATTTCCTTCCACTGCTTCCCTTAAATTTAACCATAGAATAAAACCAATATCTTCCTTTGCTAAGCGACCTCAGTTGACATTAGATTCTTCTCTGAGACTTCCTTGTTGAAGCAAGTAGCTATGTGGGTTAACCTGGTGGGGCTCAGCCAAAGCCCTAAGAAGTAAGTGGAATAAGGTGCTTAATGAGGCCAGTGCTCAAGTTAAGCTCCTGCTCCTGGGGAAGCTCTTCACTTGGATAAGGTACAGCTGTGGCCAAGGACAAAGGGAGAATGCCACGCAGAATAGAAGTCTTCTTGTTTTTACTCCTCTTTGGCTATGAAGGTATGTGCTAGCCAACCATTGGCATTCATTAAATACTTAGTAATACAATTGAATAAAATAGCTGATTAATAGAAATGCAACCTGAATAATTAAAATAGTATTAATGAGCAAGGCATGTTAATTAATTAATATGAGTTATTAATGAACAACAGTAGTTGTCTTTGTGTGGATGTGGTCCTCTTTGTCTCACCAATGGCTTTCTGGTTCTGTGAGGAGCATTGTGAAGTTCTAAGGATGCTTAAAAGAGGTCAGGAAGAAGGAAAGGTTTCACAAATTGTAGAAATAACTATAAATTGCAACCATTAGTGAGAAAGTAGGGCGTGTTCTTGAAAATTTTTAGGAGTTAACGTTAGAGTGATCATAGAATCTAATCTTTCAAACTAAGATGCTATTGAGGGTAGAAGAGGGTGCTAATAATAATTTAGCTGGGACAACAGGTGTAAACCAAGACTGTCCCAGACAAATTGGGACATGAGGTCACCCTAGTTTAAATATGGATTAACATAACATGTTGAATACCACTGGGCTCTAATAGAAAGAATAACCAACTGAGGGTCAGAAATCTCCAAAGACTCAATACACTCAATCATTTTTAAATGGCTGAATATGGCCCCAGCAGGAGCGATATGCTTAAATAAGGAGAAATTAAAGGCAAATCTCTAAAATGTCATCCAATTCAACTTTTAAATTCTCAATCCTTGGAATAATACTCTTTCATGCCTCTCTCAACTCTCAAGAACCACTCTGCAAATGACCTGGTAGACAGACATGACAAAACTCACACAAGTAGAGTCAGAATTCCTGGTTTAAATCATTCTCCTCTCTATCCTCTCATATTTTATTGGTAGAGCACTCACTTTCATGATTCTCCAGTCTCATGACTTTTGTTAGTCATATTTCTCAGCATTTGGAAAGACTTGTAAAGATATAATCCTAAGGTCATTTTGCAAACTCAAGTATGTTTCTAAGTAGAGATCATTTAGACTAATTGCCTGTTTTTTCCCCCTTGCAATTAAGTCAGCAACTTATCCCAGTAACTCTTAATACTTTAAGATGCTTAGGGGGTTTCGTAGTTTTCCCTTTACTCCTTGCCCTTTTCTCAGCAAGAAAATCTAAACAACCTTTCAAGGCTTAGATCCCAATACCCCTGGTTCTCAGATGACCACAGGGCTCACCCTCAGATTTGTTTGATTGGCATTGAGATTCATTCACCCATTCATTCGTTTGCCTGTTCATTCAAGAATCCATCCCTGAGTACCTGCTATGGGCCAAACACTGTAAGAACTTGAGAAGCCGGGCAGTTCCTTGTTGCTTTCTCACTGTTGAGTCTAACAACCCTGTTCTGTGACCCCCCCAAATGCAAAGAAGCCCTATAAATGTTTACCAACCTGGGCTGGCCAAGTGGCGCGATGGTTAAGAACTGGCTTGGGACACCAGAGGGCCCCGGTTCGGATCCCACATATGAGGGCCAGTGACACTGCCCTCCACAGCTAAGATACTGAACAACAGCTCAACCTGGAGCTGGGCTGCCGTGAGTCGCGGCGACGGCGTAGGCTGCAGTCCCTGTGGCAGTGGATTGCCATGGGCTACCGTATGTACCCAGCAGCCAGCGTGAGCGGCCAATAGCCGCAGTGAGCGGCTGTCCAGAAGCCGGCGACTGATCTGCCTCACCCGGGAAGAGCACAATGATGGTGCCAACTTGGGCCAGTGAAGCAACGTCCTCCACAACTAGACTGAAGAACAAAACGACAGCAACTTGTCTGTTCCCCTTCCCCCAATTCCCCAGCACTGTTCCCATCCCCCCAATTCCCCAATAAAAATATTTTAAAAAAATGTTTACCAACCTATTTTTAAATGAGACCTGCTCATTCGGGGGATATCTGCAACAAAAGGCACAGAGCGCAGCACTCTTTCCTGTTTTATTGCTTACCCATCCTTGTGTATGGCTGGGGAGCTCCAAACTTTCCACACAGACTCCCATCAGTCCAGGTGGAATGGAATGTGGTCCAGCGGGTAGGCTGGAGAAGCTTAAATTCTCTTACTCGCCTAACCCAGGCCCTCCACCCTCACACAGTGTGGAAGGAAAGCAGCCAGCCGAAAATGGCCAGTGCTCCACCCTGAGCTAGAGGGATGCTCCAGGAGACAGAAAAAAAGACAGGACACAATTGTTGCACCGAATCAGCTTACAGTCCAGATCGAGAAATGCTGCACAATGCACATGGGAAAAATGTATTCTATTGCACACCTGGGAACCTGAAGACAAAGGTTCTTTGTCTAATTTACTCTGCTATTTCTATTCCACCATGGCAGTGGCTCCTTATTACAGTGAAATAAGGTAAATGGATTGACTGCACTTATGCGTTGGATGAAGGTTCATTTGGGAATGCACAAATCATAGGAGTAAAGCACTACTTATGACGTATAACTGAAGCCGGCTTCGATTTATCTTACATTGTACATTTTGGATTTAATGCCAATGGTGATTTTAAGAACATCCATCGTATTAAATCAATCCATTACTTGGTCATGCCTATTATATATTTTTTCAAAAATCACCAAGCGTCATCTTACAGGTGTGTGTGTCCTCTTTTCAGGTATGTGGACCATCACGGATAACAGATTTTTTTCGAAGCAGCTTTCTTGAGATGTAATTTACATATCATTAAATTCACCCATTTAAAGTGTGCAATTCAATGGTTTTTAGTATATTCACAGATGTGTGGCGCACACAACCTCATTTTAGAATATTTTCATCACCCCCAAAACAATCCTAGAGACATTAAGCACTCACTCCCCATTACCCGCTCCCCCCAGTCCCTGACAAACACTGATCTCCTTTCTGTCTCTATAGTTGTGCCTATTCGGGGCATTTCATTTAAATGGAATCATGTAACATATGGTCTTTCATCTGTCACATAGCATATGTTTTGGAGGTTCATCTGTGTTGAAGCAGGTACAGATAACAGATTTACCCATGAATATGCCTGTCACCTAAAATAGCAACACTTTCACACCAGAAGCAATTTCCTTCTTTCTCCTTCAAGGAGAGGGACATTATTACAGCCTGCTGCTTTTCTCTCGTGTCTTATTCTTGTTTCTCAAGTAGATTGGAAGCTGGTTACTGACAGTTTTTAATCATTCATAATTTTATGCTTTTCTCCTCGGCTTCCTTCTGTTTCAATGGGAAGGAAAGCTCTGTGTTTAGTGACATCCAATCAAAGAGACTAAAATAGTCTTTCCTGTGTGCATCTAATGCGCACTTTTCCTCTTGGGCTTGCAAGGTACATTTCGAGAAATAGGCACGCCTGGATTTCCTTGCTGTGGTAACAAGGGTTTCCCCATGGAGTGGCCCCTTGAGCAAAAGGGCAGAATGAGCCCGTATTGCATGACTCAAGGATTGCTGAGTGGCAGACATCTCAGACGCTCCAGTGGAAACTGTTAACCTGTGGAGGAATGGAGAAAACAATCCCAGTAGGGAGAAAAATCCGCAACCACATAATCTAAACCTTTTATTCTTTTTCCTTTAAAGGCTGACCTGTTTTCTTTTGCTTCTTCCAACAATGTTATTTTCTGGTATTATGAAATGTAGTCAAACATGCTTTTGCTTTTATTCGCCAGCTTTTTGGGTGATTAAATCATTTTGCTGCTCCCTTGCTGACAGCTTTTCCTGTAAAATGCTTGTTATTCCTCCTCTCCCTGCTCATTTCCATAAGGATCGGATGCCTCAGAATCCCAGGCTGCCTGCAGACAAACGCTTTCTGGGAGGGGAGCCTGGGAGGCGAAAAATGCCAGAAATCTGCCCAGTGTCTGAGTGAGCACAGGCATTGGCTCTGAAACCAGGCCTCCTCTTAGGTCCCTTTCTCTCCACAGATACACAGTGGCGGGGCCTCCCGCCCATTCCTTTATGCCTTCTGCTTTGTTTCTGCAGAATGCTGAGCCCCTCCAGGGCTGAGCCCTGGACCCAGGTATGCAAAAGGCAATTAGATGGGTCCTTAGCCTCATTTGAACTCTGGGTTTGCTCAGTTGCTGCTGCTGCATCGACCCTCTTCAGTGACAGACGTGGCCTCTGGGCCAAATTGATTGGTTATTAAGGACGCGTTGTCAATGACTGACTTACCTCATCCTTGGTCCTCCCAAAAGAGGGTCTTAACACAGTAGATGTTTGCCCAACTCACAGGGCCTTTCAGCATTTCGGCTGTCCCCAGATTTTTTTGAAGATGGGGCTGGAGCTTAGCGCCTCCTGGAATAACAGCTCCCAAATCAACTAGATGCCAATAGCTCATCTACTTCGCAGTTCTTGGGGAGCAGCTGCGGGACTGAGGCTATGGGTTCATATACACATTAACTGTGAGGAGCCTAGTTGGACTTTCCTGAGTTCCAGAAGTTTCCAGCCAGCTGCCCATTCAACCTCAACACTTGGATGTCCCACTGGCCTCTCAAACAGAACATCTCCACCCCATTGCCCCCAAATCCCTGCTCCTCCTAAAACCTTCTGCTCCCCCAGTAAATGGTAGCTCTATTTTCCCAGTCACTCAGGCCTCAGACCTCTTGTTCTTTCACACCCACATCATCTGTCAGCAAATCCTGTTGGCACCACCTTCCAAAGACAGTCAGAATCCAGCCACTTCTCATTACCTCCACTGCCACCGTCCTGGGCCAGCCACCATCATCTCCCCACTGGATGACATGCCAAGCACTGGCCCACCTGAGGGTTTTTACGCTTCATCCATTCATTCATTCATTCATTCATACATTATGCTCCCACTCCCCCACATTAGACTATAAGTTCTATATGGGCAGGTGTTTTTCCCTGTTTTGTTTACTTATAACCCCAGCACCTAAAACTGGGCCTGGAATATAGTAAATCCTCAATGAATATTAATGAATGAATGAAGGTTTGGAGACCAGTCATTGTCAGCTATCTTTTCTATCAATTTCTATAATTGTACAGGTGCTTAGATAAACCTGTAGACAAGAAAGAGGCGGGACACAAAGGGCAGAGCATGTGGTAAGTTCCACAAGGGGGACAGAAAAAGTCTTCTTCACAGGGAAGGGGAAAAGCAGGCAGAAACGTTGGGTGCGGAAGCATTTGAGGCCAAGAAATCATACTGACAAAGTAATGGAGGCAGCAAACAGCCTGGCACACTTGATGAATTGCAGGTAGTACAGTGTGCAAATGATAAGTTTGGAGAGGTAGACAGGCGATAGGTCACAGTGACCCCTTGAAGGACACATTGTTATTATACCTATTTTAGGGATGAGGAAATGGAGAGATGCAGTCATACAACTAAGAATATCAGAGGTGGAACTCAGACCCTGGCAGTGGGGACCCACCAAAGGGTTTGGCAGGAAAGTGATACAATCAGGTTAGCATTCCATTCCATTGGCAGCATGGAGGATGGATGAGGCAAGGTCTCCCTTCAGCAGGGAGAGAATCTAGGGGAGAGAGGGTGTGGCCTAAAACAGGAAGTGGCCGTGGGGGTGGAAGTAAAAGGCCCCTGCCCCTGGTAGACACTGTATGCAGGGGGTTAGGAAAAAGAGGCAACTAGAAGGAGTCCCAGTTTTCTGGAAGGAGTGGTAGGTGGACAGTGGAGCCATTCAGTAGGATAAGAAATAGAGAAAGGAGAAGAACAATCTGAGGAAGAATGCAATGAGTTCAGTTTTTTAAAAAGGTTTTCTTGAAGTATAACATACATACATTTACTTAAGTATAACATACAGAGGAGTACAGGGAAGTGTACAGGTCAACAAATTTTCACCACTAAACACACCCAAGTAATAAGCACTCAGATCAAATAACAGAACATTACCAGCCCCCCAGCCACTCTCCCTAGGCTTCCTCCCTGCCACTCCCCACCCCAAGTGTAACCAGGACCCTAATGTCTAGCAACATAGATTACTTGGGCCTGTTTTGTGTATTTAAAATGGATTCATATGGTATGTCCACTTTAGCATTGCAGTGCAGTGTTCCACTGTGTGAATCTACTACAGGTATCCATTCCACTCTTGTACATAAAAGACAAACCTAAAAAAGATTTCCTAAACAATGTCCTCACCCTGAATAACCTGAATGTGTCACAGTGGGGGACTTGAGAATCAACTCCTGAATAGCACATTCACCAGACACTAGGGATAATGATGATGGTGACGATGAGTCAATAAGTAAAGGGAGAAGCTCGCATTGCTAATGTTAACTGGGAAAGGAATGCTGTCAACATTGCTTAGACAGTAGGTGCTCAAATGTGTTTTTTAGAATATGCACAGAAAAACGATAGGAAAGATTTACACTTAGATATTAACAGTGAGTGTTGCCTTGGGTGGTAAAAAAATATATAGGTGCTCCCCCCTCCTTGCTACATTAATGTATTTTCCAAAATTCTAGCATGAACAAAAAAAATACTAATTATTCTTGTCTTTCTGTTGAATTTTACTAACCCTAGTTTCTCAGCATCTGTGGATGTTTCTCTTGACATACAGTTACTTAGTTTGACTTCTTCCAGGAGGGGCTTTGTTAATTTTTATGTGAATTTCATTTTACTTTTCCATGTATTGACTCATTATGTTGAATTTCTCTTGTTCTAACTTCATTTTTCCTCTCTTACCCTCATGCTTAGTCACGCTAGGATTATCATCTACTGAGGTAAGTTCAGTAAGAAGGCTGGCATTTACAGGGATACTGTTTTTGAAGATTTTCTTAGCCAAAAATAATGGACAGGATTATCACCTTTTAAAAAGAAATGTATTTTTAAAGAAATTTTTTTTCTGGTAGCGGCAATAGCACATTTTATCTGGGTAAGTTCCAAGGCTGGCGTTTTAATGAGAGAGTGCAAGTAAACCAGGTTTTAATTCAGATGGTGTAATCTGGAATCCAGTACCTTTTTTTTTTTTTAAAGATTTTATTGGGGAAGGGGAACAGCCAAGTTGTTGTCCTTCAATCTTAGTTGTGGAGGGCACAGCTAGCTCAGCTCCAAGTCCAGTCGCCATCTGGCCACCCGGCGGCAGCTCGTGGCTGCTCAGCTCAAGGTGCCGTGTTCAATCTTAGTTGCAGGCGGGCATAGCCACCATCCCATGCGGGAGTCGAACTGGCAACCTTGTTGTTAGGAGCACGTGCTCTCACCAGCTAAGCCATCCTGCCACCTGTTGGCAGCTTAGCTCGGGCACAGCTCACTGGCCCACGTGGGAATCGAACCAGTGACCCTGTTGCTCAGAGCTCACGCTCTTAACCAACTGAGCCATTCGGCTGGCCCTGGAATCCAGTACCTCTTAAAACTGGACCCTGAGAGGGACCTCCAGGGGATGTGAGGAGCCCGAGCTTGCACGGGGGCTCTCCAACCCCTGAAAACAACTATAATGGGGTGAACATTGCCCTCTACATGGGTGTGTCTGTGAGATGATTAGCTGGTCACCCACAGTGGCAGACATTTGTCTATGTAGACTCAAACGTGAGTGGCGACTGTGTGCATTAAGGCTGGATTAAAATTGCGCTGTTGTAGTGTGAAAGCAGCTATAGACAATAGTAATGAATGAGCAAGGTTTTTGAATACAAGATTTTCCAGTAGTGCTGACCACGGTTACCTTTGACCGTGACTTCCTGACACTCCTGCCTCTCTGGCTTCCCACAGGATGAGGACGAGGACCCCTGGTATCACAAAACGTGCAAGTGCGATTGCGAAGGAGGCGCCAATGCCCTGTGGTCTGCGGGTGCCACCTCTTTAGACTGCATACCAGGTGAGTGTCCCCTCTCCTTGGGGCCAGATCCTTGGAGTGTCCTAGGGAACATCCTGTTTCTCCTCTTTCTTTCAACCCAGCTGTTAAACCCCCTGAATGCCACATTCTTGGTTTTCTCCAGTCGGCCTCTGAACTTCAAATGTCACATGGCCACTGCTCCAATAAACTTCTCTGATGTCATCATTCAGAACAGCTTCCTAGATCTCTGCTTGACCTGGGTGAGATGGTAAGAAGAGACCTAACTTTCAATGAAACTGATGCATGGATAATTAATTGAAAATCAATTAATGGTAGGTGGCAGGGGGTTTGAGAAGAGCATAGGCTCCCGAGCCAAAAAGACCAGGGTTGGAAGGTTGGAATCCTGGCTGGGTCACTTAATTAACTCTGGGACTCCCACTTTGGCCTTTTTCTGCCAAATGGAGGTAATACTGTGCCTGGATATCCATTGCTCACCAACCCTGTGCATCCCCACATTCCAGCCCCCTTGCAGTCAGGCGGTATCATATGAGCAGTTATGAGCAATGTCTCTTCCGAAATGAGGCACTTAAGGGCTGGTACTCAACTCTCCAGCTCTCCCTTTCCCTGCTTCAGAAAGTGGCTTGTCCCTCAGCCCGGGTGCTGGGGACAAGAGGAGGAGAACCCCCGGCCAACCCACAATGACCAAGTCACCTGAGTGAAAAACGTACCTTTGTTGTGTTAAGCCTCCAAAATTTCCAAGAGGGCTTGTTCTGCAGCATAACATGGTCTTTCCTGCCATGTGAATGCCTCCCTTCCTCTAAGGCAGGGGCCAGCAAACTGTCTGTAAAGAACCGGACGGTATTTGTGGCTTTGTGGGCCATGCAGTCAGTCTCAACTCCTCAATTCTGCCATTGTTGTTGGAAAGCAGCCACAGAAAATATGTAAATGTATAGGCGTGTCTGTGTGCCAATAAAACTTTATTTACAAAAACAGGCAGTGAGACATATTTGACCTGAGGGCCACAGTTTGTCCATCCCTGCTCCAAGGAGTTGTTATGAGGAATAAAGCAGATGAGGCATTAAAGCATCTTAAGCTGTACCTGACAAAGTGTAGTTCCTTCACTTCCTGCCTCCTAAGAGCTTACGACTTTCAGAGGCCAGGGCGGCCCCACAAATATTTGCAATGCTCAGGCCTTTCTGAGGCTCCTCTTTTGCATGAAACTGCCCTTGCCACCCCTCTCCAGGATTATGGTGGTGCCATGCAACGTCCTCCTCTTTACCTAATTGCCTAATAATAGCTCCAGGAGAGACAGGGTTGTGAGTACTTGTGTGAGCTTCTCTTCACTAGTTCATTAAATTTGCATTAAAATAGCAAATTATGGGGGAGGAGAAAGGGGAGTCTACAAGGGCTTTGACTGCCTCCGTTTTCCTATTTTCTAAAGGGGTAGGAAGTCAGTTCTGAACTAAGCTTTCTGGAAGGGAACAGTGGGCTCCCGGTAGTGAGGCAAGCAGTAAGGGCTTTAGTTTGGTGTGCTTCTCCCACGGGACGACCGACTGTGCGCCATGCTGCGAGCTCCTGCAGCCATTATGTGTTTGTGTGATCTGCCCAGTCAATATTGAAGCACCCTCCTTAATAATCCATTTAGAATTCCACCCCCTTTTATCCATGTGCCTATTATGTGCCAGGCACTAATAGGGAGACAAAAAATGAAGCCATTGTCTCCACCTTGGAGGAGTTTGCCATTTAGTGAAAACAAATGTTCCCTTCACTGGAGACAGGAGGCCTACCGGAATTCCATTCCAAGGAAGTTCTTTCTAAGAAGACATTGAAAAGAGATTATTTATGCAGATTTCATTCATTGATCCAATCAACTGTGAAGCTGAGGAGGGCTGTGTGTTTGAAGAATGTGCTCTCCCCCCACACAGCTGCCATGTGCAAGTTCTGAAATCAGAGATTCTTTAGCTTAAGTGTTCTCCTTTCCCCACTGTTTTTTGTTTTGTTTTGATTTGTTAACCACACAGATATTTCCAGGAAGAAAAACAAAAAAAAACCAAAAAACAAAAACACCCCGCAACCTTAGTGTTATATGGTTGATTCATTGGTGTTAATTGGCTTTTCCATGAAAGGCATAATTCAGAGAATCAGAACTAGCCCCAACCTTCCAGAAGTGCCTCAGATGCTCATGAGAATCTCCAGAACTGCCCTTGGTCTCTCTGGCCCCTGAGATTCAATGCTTCCAGCAGAGTCTGATTTAGGAGGGAAGGAGAGCCTAGAAAGCACAGAAGGACAAGAAGGTCATTCAGAGCTGCCAAGAGGAGCTTCCAGGTGCACACTAGCTCTTACTGCCCTGGGTCCCCACCCACAGAGCACAAGGTGACCCGCTAGGTGCTTTACGGCCTCCTAATCTTCAGCTTAACGCAATTAAAAATACTAAAAGGTCTGTCTTTTCCACAGTTGAGCCAAGATCACCTCGTAACTCTGAGAGGTGGGAATAGGGTAGAGAAGGTAGCAAAGTATTAGAAATCCAATGACTTAGTGCTTTACTTTTATTCTGGATTTTATATTTCTATATTATATTCAAATGAATACTCTATTCTTCTATAAACATTCTTCTATAGTCTACTACATCATCATAGATATTGAGGTCTGACACATGTGCATAATCATATTCACATCTCTCTTGACAAGAACGTCCCTGAACTCTCTTTGTTAGGTTAACCTTCTTTATAAGCATGTCTGGCCTTCATGCCTACAAATTGAGAAATTACTTACTGAATCAGAAAGGCTAGTACTTAAGAATTTATAGTCTGGATTAGCAGCACATTATGAATATGCCTTCACCATCTAATTATCAAATCATCGCTCAGAAGAGCCACGTGTGCCACAGAGGATGCAGGTTTTTCCTTAAGAGTAAAATGAGGAGAGACATAGGCCAGTGGGAGTTCTCTGGGCCAGTCAACTCTTACTTCCTACCTGAGCTCTCTGCTTCCTGTTTTGCCATTTTCTCTGCTTATCCCCAGTGGCCACCCAAGAGGGGGTGATGATGTTGGTTTATCCATTCGTTGATCCATCTGATCAATATCTATGGAATGCCTAGCATGTGCAGGCACTCTGCTGGGCTCAGAGGATACAATGGTGGGCAAGGCAGACCAAAGGTGCTGACAATTACATAATCACAGGAGGAGGCATAAGTGACAGGTGTAGGCTGCATGGGAAGACAGCACCTGGAATCCTCTACTCAGCTCATGTGGGCAGGGGAAGTGGGCGGAGATCTGAAAGGTGAGTAGAGGTGTCCAGATGAAAGGTGAAAAGAGGGGACCGGAGTGTCACAGGTAGAGGGAAGAGCCTCAAGGGAAGGCCTCCAGGCCTGCAGGAAGACTTGAAGGGAGCTCAGCCAGGACCGTGGAAGGAGGAGGAGAGAGGGGGACAGGAGGGGTCAGGAAAAATAATAAAGTAACTGGAGTGCCGTTCACCCCATAGAACACAGAGCACAAGAAATGTTTCATTTTCCATTTTTCCAAGTTCAAGTATAATAACTCCAGTTTGAGTCCCCCTTTGTCATGGCCTTTGAGGAGTCTACAGACAGGATTGTTGAAGGTCCTTCCTCTCCCCTTTGGACGACATGAACCCCCACAGGCTTGCAAGGGCTGCTGGGGCAGGGCCTAGGCTCAGGCGGGGTGGCAGTTTCCTTGCCTGGCCCACAGCCCCATGTGAAGGTTGACATCTTCTCCCTCTGAAACAAGCTCAGTCCTGGGACCTGCCCAAGTTTCCTGAGGGTTTCCAGAGCTCACGGCTCCCAGGCCCCATCTGTGGTCCAGCCCCTCAGAGGGACCATGTCCCTGTTTAGCTCAGTCCCCTACGACGAGTCCCACCCCTGAGTCAAAGCCCAGAGCCTTCGGCTCCCTCCTCCTCTGGGACAGTCAACTGATTTTCGTCGAGGCCCAAAGCTTCCAAATCCGTAAGCCTGGGAGGCGCTGCGCTGTCAACAGGCTTCTCTCTCAGGTCACACATACGTGCATGCAGAGTGTTCTGTCCTGGGGCAAGGAGAGCCCAAACCTGCGGAAACATGGAGCCGGCCTCCTTTTCAGGGAGATGATGGGGGCAGGACAGAGTGGGGTACAGGGGTTCTAGATGTCTTCCCTCATGACTCTTCACCAAAAAAACAAACATGCAAAACTCAAGAAGACATCCATATATTCTCACGACTTCACACTTTTCCGCCAATATGAGCTGCTGCTTTCTGGACAGGCCCTACAGCGGTTATTTCCTGTCATCCCATAGCAACCTTATGGAGGTAGCCCATTTCACAGATGAGGAGGCTGAGACTCAGAGACATTAAACAGCTAGCCTAAACTCAAGCAGAGGGAGAGTGGGACCCAGTCCCAGATCGCGCTGGCTCTAAGCAGGCGTTCTTGACTTTGGCTGCCCATTACAATCACCTGCAGCTTTACCCCATGCCCAGGTCCTGCCTCAGACCAATGACTTCAGAATCTCTCGGGGTGTGGCATGAACATTGGCACTTCTGCAATTGCCTGGGTGATGCCCAGGCTGAGACCATCATAGAGTCTCTGCTTTGTGCCCTGGGCCAAATCACCAGGTTTCTGGGTTAGCAGCTGGGTAGCTGGACGTGCCAATGCCAGAGGCAGGAGTACTGGACGGGAGCAGGCTTGGGGCTTGGGGCTTGGACACTGATGGGCTCAGTTTGGGCCATATGGGTGTGAAGCACCTTTGGTTCATCCAGATGGCACAGTTCACTTGGAAAATACCCAAAGGGTTGTGGGAGGCTTGGGGCCTGAGAGTCAGGCATGGGCTCCCAGAGCCTGCTGAAACCATGGGGACGGCGAGATCATGGCGTCCTCCGAAGAGTATGGGAAGGATGCATGTCTGGACAAGTCCGCACAGGCCTCCAAGGCCATAGCCACTGGCCCGGTCCCTGCAGGCTGACAGCCCCCTCTTAACTGTTAGATGGGCTGACTGGGAAGAAATGGCAAAAGAGATGTGAGGCGGAAACATAGAAAGATCGAAATGCCAAGAATAAGGCAACTGGGAGAGGTAGTGATGGCTTTTCCTTCCACTCCGCCCCCTCCCTCTGGGCTGATGGCCCTAGAGCAAGAAAAGCGAGGTTCCTGATGGAGAGGCCTTAGAGACATCCACAGTTAGAATTTAAGTGATGACTAGGGCCCAGCTGAAACCTACCTTTCTGACACTGGGGTCTTGTCCCTCCTTCCAGTGTCACAAGCTTGTTTTCCAGGGTGGAGGGGGGTTGAGGAGATGGAGGAGCCCCCAAGGCCATGGGCACTAGGCCCCCCGGAATCTGCCAGCCAACAAAACGCCTTCCCTGGCAGGCCAAAGTTTCCAAAACGCACTTTGAAAGTGTGCTTGTTAAAAATGCAGCCTCTCTGCAGGTGGAATCCTGGAAACCGAATTCTTAACAAGTCTCCCTGATCATTCTGCCACACAAGGCATGAGCATGTGGCCCATAAAGGGTTCCTGTTCTCTCTCCCAGGAACTGATATTCTTTTACTAGGCTCCTCGAAGCCTCTGGTACTTGACAAACAAATATTATCCCCTCACTCCTAGCCTCACTGAGCTGCAGGTACTGGCGGGAGTTAGACCTATTTTTTTGGTGCATTGGGCAGAAAAGCCGTTAAGTG